TCTTTGGATTACTCATCTTTTCCCTGGTGCACGGCGGATAGTGCATTGACACGTTACTTTACAGGCTCCTATCCAAATACTTGGTATGTGGGATCTTTTCTAAACTGATACGTGCAAAGGCCTATCGCAGAGGCAGAGAGGGAGCGAAGTTGAATGCAAACCGTGTGCGGTAGCCGTCAGAGCAGTGGGTGAATACCGATAGAAAATTGAGGAATTGTCAATGCATTCAATGTGCCTAGACGACAAGTCCGTACAGCCCGCGTTCCCAATCAGCACTTACATAAGGCGAACAAACATGGGGCAGATTTTCAAAAGAGCGCTGAATCCATATTTGACCTAAAATTGGTGACAGACTATGGCTCAGTCAAGCTTGACGGTTACCCAAACAACGCCGTGAGAGAACTACAGGTCCAACAGCTTCTGCCGTGTGGTGTGCCGGCAGTGCTTTCAGTGGTCGAGGAATGTTCCGAACCTCTCACTAGTGATAACGAACTGTTTGGCTTCTGCTAGTGGGTGGAACACAAAATTCCCGTCTCGTCCAAATGCCTCCGGGCGTAAGGACTCCGTTTGCGGCAGCTCCATTTTCGGTGGGTGATCCATAAAGTATTTCACGATATGTTGTAAAAGTTGCATAATCGCGAACAACAGTGCGTTCAACTCCATGGTTCTATTTGTAAACAAGATGAACATGAATACCGGTTTTGCGTGGATTTCCACTGTTTGAATGAACTGACTGTAGATCGGGTATTACCTTTGCCTTCGGTTTCGGTTTTCAGTTCTTTCCAGCATTCTCGATACTGTACGACGCTTGACTTGTATTTGTGGTACTGGCAACTATTTTTCAAAGTGAGGGACAAGAAGAAAATAGCGTTTAGGGTGCTGGACACCCAATATCCATTTAGACACATGCCCTTTGATTTTTACCGATATCATCATTTGCATTCCGGCGCTTGGTGTTTCGTTTAACCAACAAACAACAGAATTTTGCGGTGGTTGAAGACGATGATTTTCTGCAGAGAAGTTTGGAAACGGAGCTAGCTTCAACCCTGCAGGCATTTAGAGGTTGAATTCAAAAAGGAATTGAAAAGTGTTCAACTATTCACCTGCTCAAACATGGCAAAANGTTGGTTTCCATCGCAAAAATTCAGTCTGGCGTTTTGTAGGTCCCTCCCTTGTTGATTACTACTGAGGGTTTACCTTCGCCGGCATTCGCCGTGCTGGTAATATCAACCTGCCCCAGTTGATTCAATGTTCCTTGCTCTGATGGGGCAATACTGGGAGCTCCTGGCTTTTGGGATGTTAGGATGTTGCGCCCATCTTCTCCGCTTCCGCTGAAGGGAGCATTTCAAACACCGATTTGGCACCAAAGTTTGTTTGCTCTGCTACATTTTCTAACAGACAAACTTCTATCAATTTACAGAATAGTGGAAGATAATTTACTGTTGAAACGGCACTTGAAGGCTGCATCTCAATCACCATCATGTTTGCGTATAGAACTGAAACTCCGGAATACTTTGCCCTAAATTAGAAACTGTGTTTGCAAGAAAAAAATTCCCCGTGATCAAAGCATGTGCCGCATTAGTTCCACCTGGAATATTGATCTTAAAGTTCTCGAATGTTAGCAAGTAATTAAGTGATAATATACATAGATTTCCAGGATAGATATTCAGTTCTAGCGGGTTATTGTAGCTTAAGTGCACCCGAAAGAAGACACATCATGCACGCAAAGAGATGATTCTTGTGGTCGGTTGCTAGGGCATTACCAGGTCCGTATAGGAGCTTGGTCCATACTCATGACTTACAGACTGTTTTTTTAAACGACAAAAACAACGAATATAAATAAATCAATACGGAAAATACAATACCGAAAATAAATCTACCTTCTGAGAAACCCAGTTTGGATCTATTCTAATGGAACGATAACGACTTATATTGCATCACTACCGGAAGGTAAAAGCTCGTAGGTCCGAATGAAATTCTGTGAGCATTGTGCTTACCATTGTGTGGTCTGGGCTATTTTGACTGCTACCCGCCATTTGTCTTCCCAGAAAAAGATAACCGTTGACGAAAAAAGCAGCAAACGGTGCGAGCCAGGAAATGTTTCAGGTCCAATATTAAAGACTACCCACAGAGAGGTGCTGGAGATTTGACCTGACCAAGTCAGGTACACATGTTGTAACTCATCCATTTTGTGCAAAATGAGAATCCAATGAGGTGAAAAGAGTTAACTGTGAATTTTGAACTCAGTGGCATAACATGAAGTGCAACTTAGATGTTAGTGCAGATGCTTGGAATTTATCTTATTCCGCCAACGCAGAATATCTGGATACTTTGTCCTAAACAGGCGTAATTAGTGGATTTTGACTATCTTGTAGCACACGTACACCCAAGCACCCTTGTAATTACTAGAACTGGAATACATTATTACCAGATGCTTATGATTCCGTGGATAGAATAAGTATTGTTCATTGACCAGATGCCCGAACAGTGTTTTCTCAACGCGACCCTTATCAAAGCATGGGTGTACAGTATTTGAATTTCAATGCGTATTAAATAGGTATCGAATAACGCATTGTGCTTGGAAGTTGCAAAATTGTGTGCATATATTGCAAACCATGTGATTAATCGATAGTCATTATTCCTGTAACCAAACGAAATCGCATACTATTAGGTATTCTAGCTAGACCACACAAAACTAAGATGCTGCTACGTAATCAATCAGTTCAGAATGATAAAATGTTCCCATGGATTTGTAATAGCGCATATATCCACCAATGGTCTGATGACGTGTTTGCCATTATTTTTGACAAGCATGACATTTTTCGGTTTTCTAAACGTTTGGTTATTGCGTGATCTTCACGGATTTTGAGATCAACTATTTCATGTCACGGAATAACAGCAGGAAGCATGGCATTTTAGTGCCACCTCTGGTATTTTAATGCTTTTCAATGCTGTGTTTGATGTAATCTTGGTTTGCCATATAGCCGCGTGAAGCCGAAAGTTTGGCTCAAGAACCCCATTAGTTGTACTCGCAGTAGCATCTCCCTTTGTGAGTGTAGTGTGTTCCCAAAGCATTTTGCTTTTGCCATTGGGTGAAATGCAATCAGGTGCTGACAAGCACTTAAGCAATACTGTAAACTTGTTTCCAAGATATATTTTCAGTTCCGGCTAAGTCTTGCGTTCATGAAGATAAAATCACTGTGTGTCAGATCGCATCAGATAAGTGAACATATTTCTGTAATTGGTTAGGCCCTTATTTGAACTTTACAGCAGAGTTTAAAATCTTCATTTAATGAGGACGTTTGTTTTACTCTAGAAGGACACAGCTAATGTCAACCATCACTGAAATTTCTTTAACGTTATTTTTTGTTAACCTACCAAGATATGGGTTCTAGTTACATTCCAGTCAGACAATCGTTGATTACAGTGCATTATTTCTGAGTAGCATCGGTGTAATAAGATTGACAACTTTTTGTTGATACTTTGGCTCAGTAGAGAGCAACTGAACTTACGGAGCTGATTTATAATAATACACATGGCGCATATGATTTAAATGTTACTTACTTGCTCATGGGCCACTCCATCAGTCAATCAGTCCCTCGGAAACAGTTAGCAGCCGTCTATCACACTGTCTCACATCCGGTAACATGTGGAGGATCGCATGGTATATGCTTTATTATTTCAACCTGTACATGTAGTGGGCGGATGAAGTGCAACCAGCTGAGTACAAGCATACTTGCCTGCTCATTTCTGCCTAGAAATGGGATTAAAATGTGAGCGCTATTATCTCATTTATTGCAATAACAGACAGTGACTAATTGTCTGGAACATACATCATCGAAGGATAAACGCTCCCGCAAGTCCATGAGTTTTTGCAGCTTACAGAATAAGTAACGGACACTGTCAAATATTGAAAGTTACAAAGCATAGTTTGCGTATAGACGGAACCCAGGGCTTAGAAGTTTAACCTGTTCACCCACTAGAATTATATTCGGAAATCCGTTTATTAAGTGCTTCTAATGTCAACGTGGGATCGGCTTTGGCAAATTTTCATACGATTCACTACCACCACGTTGTCGGCTATGACAGATGCTCTAGGTGGGATACCGAAGAAGAGGCCAGATTTTATGTGGAGGTGCACAGATGAAAAGAGTAGTTACAGTCAGTGGTGTGGCTTGGGAACATTTACACATGCCTTTGTAAACCGTGAACGTGTAACGTGTGTTCCTGACATAACATCTACCTCTTCCTGCACTCTCAGAAATATCACTCCCGTTATATTATCCTCTCAGTAATTTTATGATTTTCTTCAGACGTTGCCCATATAACATTTTTGAAGGCCGGCAAGTGAAAATCAGAGGTACATGTTTGGTTCACTAAATAATGGAATGTTTTGGCAAAAGTACCTAAAGATGTGACGATGGAGTCTGCTTCCGGGGGCTTTGAAAACTCTGACCAGACTCATATCAGGGTAGATATCTTTTATCTCTTGAAATCAAAGTTGAAATGATTATTTTTAGGACATTTCTTGTCATTTGTATCTGTAGTCCAATTTCTCCTTCGGAAGCATTCACACGTTTGAATTACCTTCATCTTTCAAGAGTTACATTCAGTTGCACGCCAATTGGTGTTGACTGGAAGTCCAACTGAATTCCATCTTGTACGATATTATTCAGCCGAAGGTGTTGTACAACGGGAGCCTCGTATTTCAGTTTCATACGAGCTATGCTTCCTGTGAGTCTTCCGTGATACTGGAAGTAGGATGACAATGGGTGGCTGATTTCATGCAATTTAGTTTTCAGAACAACACGAGTTATGCAGAAACTCGGTACGAGCCCCAGGAAAGCAAAAGCCGGCCGTCGGCGGGAAAAAATTGTTCAGCTGTAGCACGAATTCGGTGCCTAAGTGCCATGCCACCTGAGGTTTCACGCCGTCGGCGGGAAAAAATTGTTCAGCTGTAGCACGAATTCGGTGCCTAAGTGCCATGCCACCTGAAGGTTTCACGAGGGCTGGGATACTACCAGGTTGCTGAAGCCTAGACAGGGGACGTCGATAGGCAGAGTTCGAGTTTGAAACATGGAACTTCCGGTCAGGGATTTCGTGTTCCAAACATTTTGGCCACCTCGCTGTCGGCAGAAATTTTCCATTAACTTTGTGTGTTTTTTACATGGAAAGCGTCTTTCTTCCTTCCTTACGTTAGACTATCCCAGTCAAAATGCGACGACAAAAGAACAAGAATCACAAAATTCTCCCTTTTGAAACAAATGGCTTATTTTAGCCCACAACACAGTCGGAATTACCTTTTTGCCTCTTCCATTCGGTAAGCTTATGAGTTTGGTTGACTGTAGAAAGAATGCTTTTCTTTTCAGAAAAAATCGCCGCATAGTTCGGTGTTCATGTCCGGTGGATTGCTACAATAAGCTGGCATTTATATCTAACAAATAAACAACCTTTACCGTCTATTAGGCTCCTACATGTGAGGACCAACTTGGATGACTTGTGAGAGCATGGAGGCACATAATACCTTTTAGTTTACAGGAGAATCATTGAGGCCTAGGGCTGTTGCAATGCTTGCACTCATAGCTCACACACGTCGCTTGACGCATGTTGCATTTGAAATTTTGTACAAATGTGTAAACATTATGCAGCCTGTATTAGGCTTCGTAAATTAGTGCGTCACAAGGGCGTTGTTTTGAGTACTACACAATTTAGGCTGATCCAATACCAGACTATCTAAGGCCTTTTTAGAACAACATATCAGTCAGCTGTGTCACTCGTAAAACTCAATACCAAAACAGACATGAGTCCACTGATATATTATAAAAAGATTAGCCTCACAGCACGGCCAAATGTAGAATTCCAAGGAATTTTCGGATTCATCAGTATCCGTGGTCCACAAAAACTATAGGAACTCAGGGCAAAATAACCTGTAGGTAATTGTATAGGCATTGTAGCTATGACTCCACATACGTGTTACCTTTCTTAGCGCATTTAATTGGATTGCATGTGTTACACCCTACCCTTTATATAACACTATTGGAAACCTCACTCACTAGGCATTACTTAGCTAATTAATTATGGGTCATTTTCTGTCACTTCCCAATTGAAGAGCTGCCCGGCCACGCAGCTAACGGCGGTAGAACAATATTTAGGAGGACACATTTTACGTCACGTCGATTAATAATATTTTTCAGTTGGACAGCAAATTTGCCCGCTATGTCGCCAAGTGACTGATGATTTCACTATAACTAGTGGCCAAAAATGTTCCATGCCATTGCCCAACTGTGCGTCCCATACTCTATTTCTTTGCTGCAAAATTAATAACTGACCATTCTTCACAACAGCAAAGCAAAAATTTTCCATAAAATTAAGAGGGATCTCAGGGCATTTATTGTCAATTATCATTAGGAAATTCATATGAATAAAGCTCCAAGTAAATTATGGTTTTTGTGTGCAAATCCTTTTATATCAAAGAATGCGAAGAGTTCCGCATCAGCTAGAATCCTCGTGTGTTTGAATATTCAGTTGAGCATGCTACAAAAATTCCATTCGATTGTATGCCTAAAAAGGTATTCTTAGGTTTAGTTCTTATTGCAAATATTTTTTTCAGCCTCGTGTAAATATAGGGAATACCATGAATAACATCAATGTTCTCGGATTGGTAACGGATTTATAACTCCAAAATCTCTGCACACATTTGCAAGTGGACTTCAACATTATCGCATAAATGACCAGCTTTTGTCGGCGAAATGGATTGCGGGATGTCAAATACACCCAATTTCGAAACTAAGCCAACTAGAAGCGTCAAAGTTCCTCCAAATATTGGCTATTTTTGGTAGGCTAGAAGAAACACAACATTGTGAATAACAATATAAACGGACAAGCTGTCATTTGACTACTGAATTCAACCACCGACATTGTAAACACTTATATTAGCAATCAATTTTGACAGCATTCGAAGTAAACGAGAGATGATCGGTGCGGAATTATTAGGCTGAAACCTACTTGAACTTCGAATGGACTTACATTCATGAATAAAAAACTTCCACTTACTCGAAATGCCCGCAAAATGTTTCAAACAATGCAAATAGTGCATATTTTAATTTATTTGCTTCATGTTTCAAGGTGGTAATAAGCTAAGGGATTATCTTCTAGATTTTAAACCTTCCTGCTGGTACCATCAACGGTCTTGCATCGTGCCTTTTGGTCATAATTTCACTGGCAAACTGGCAAACTGGCAAACTGGCAAACTCGCAAACTGGAATCTTTCGAATGTCATGGGCAAACGTATACGGGATTTCGTGCACAAAGTGGATTTGAAGGTATGTAAAGCAGAATAATTCCGTTTAATTACGTCATTTTGTGTGTAGCTCACTTATATCAACCTCAGCTACATTGATTCAGAGAAACTTGTGGTTTTATTCATTGTTTAGCTTTGTAGAAATGAGCCAGAACACAAAAATGAAAAACTGAGCAGCATATGATCAAACGTTCGATGTCCTCATGGCGAAAAATGCATTGCATATATATGTCGCTTCTCCTTACAAAAAACTTGTTGCAAAATCCAGATTACGCTCTCCAGTAAGCACCAGATTGTTTTTAGATGTGAAACAAAATTGTAATTTAAGCATTGGTTACTGGTTCAAGTTGAGGGAGAATATACCACTCACAGAATCTGTCGGATTGTCACCCAACTAGGGACTTTTCTGGCGGCACTGCGGGATTTGCAGATAAAAACACGAGATCGTATAAAGCCTGCATTCTTAATTTTGACCAGAATTGTGAGAAAGTCATTTTGAGTCTTGAAGCCTGGGCGAAACTTATACTGGTCACAAAAAAAACCGTGGTAACAAAATATGGGTACTGCATGGAGCACTTACAAAAGGTCACGTAGAAACATCTTGTTCACACAACAAGAAAGATTTCGGATGCTTTTGCTTCAGATATGATGCTCAGTTTCTGTCACTTAAAGTGACATTTCAGCGCATTCAAATGTAGGCTGTATTGTGGGTCGTATTAACCTAAGCATAATACCTCCGGCCCTTAACCAAGAAACAAACTCGGCGATTTAAGCTTGATATGACAGGCATAAAATAACCCGATTCGTTTTATTGGCATACGCTTAGTGAGTTGATAATAGGTATATTTCTTAAAGAAAACAATACAAGCACCTGTAGTTTCCTGCAATTCAGTCGCACAGATGTCACCTGGGTCTGATTTGACTTGACAATCGTCCAAAAATCTTTTGTACAGGTGAATGCTACGCATCATTTGTCTATTTTGTTTATGCAATCAAAATTTATAGCTAACAGGAAGTGATCTCCTTGGACCGATGTTTTGCAAACAATATAGCGAACTACGTTTTCACCCATATTTATTTCTAAACGACGGCTCAGAAGAAAAAATAACGATTTTCACCAGTGGCTTAACAAAAGACTCACACTTCACTATTTTCAAATCACTAACTTACTTGATTTAGAACACGGGATTAAAACACTTTCTTCACGACCACGCTGCTGAATAATCGAACTGCATGTTTGTGACCAATGCTGTTAGCGCTCTTTAGGGGACCGTGTTCACCGTCGTAAACGTTGTGTGAATAAACCCCTTGTCCCAGGAACACGTTTAACTCCCATCCATTCGGGACTATGCAGTGATGTTTCTGGGATGCTTGGAAAATGTGAGTGAGTTGTCAGTCCTCCATATGTCATTTGGGTAATTGCCGCTTTACAAGTATACTAAAATCCACAATCAAGGAATGCAATTTACTGTCTGGTGGACCCGTTAAAAAGTTTCAAGAACGGGTTAAATCACGAATCGTGAATGTAATTGGAGAACAATGATATTCAAAAATGGTACTCAATCATTCTGCATCACAAACGTTGAGCAGTTAGAGTTACCTCCCGAAAACAGTACCCCTCTACCTCGTCACATAGTACATGTCTCTCTGATGCAGCATGAGTAATCATATTCGCAACTCTCTTCACTATCGCGTTGGTTTGACTTCTTATCACACATGTCAAAAACCGAACATATTTTAAATACAATGGCAGGACAATCCACATCTGTTGACTTGCGAGCCTATCAGTCAATTATTCCCTCTAGTTTTAGCATATTTCAATTTTTTTCACGGGACCATAAGCATATAATTCAGTTGACGATCCCTACCCTGGGCACATAGTTCCGAATAAAATTTCATTGATGCAGTGTTATTTCTATGTTTTGTGTTGCCCAAGGGTGTTATAAATTTACAAGCTGTGCATCAGTATTACCGGCCCCGCGTTATCAATAGTGGGGGATTCTATCTTCCTAAGGAAATATTTTCTAAGATACAAGAATCGTAGCACTGCGCACAGATTTTGAGGTGGGGAGGACCTATCGCCGGTCACCCGGAAAAACTTCTTCTGATTGACCCGCATAATAAAGACTATTTTGCTTTATCTGTGTCAATACTTTGGACTAAAATTATCACAATTCCCCAAAATCTTGTGTTCTTATGTCCAAAATATGTCTAAATCAGATTTTGTAGTCCCCAAGGTAATCATAGCATGCGATTTTGGGCAAAATGTGTCAAAGCCTTATTGAGAGCAGAACTAAAAATAAATAGTGCACCAAATCCAGGGGCAAACGTTTCAAACCTAGAATATCGCGTATTCATTTTTCTGGATTATTTGTTTTCAGATTTCTTTTTCTCATATTTGTTGGCTCTATATCCTCAAGTGTGATATTTCCTTTAAATTTCCTTTAAATCCGCTCATGTGTCATTCTGCTTCCTGATGACACAGTATTAGTCACGTAAACCAAAGTAATCAAATCCCAGTGTCACGGAGCATTTTGGACGGCTCATCGCAGATGTTAGAGTTCTGGTCAGAAGTTGAGATTCACCCCTATTTATAACTTTATCCAGTTTTTTTTCCATTTGTCTGTGTTGTTGCATGTTGTATGCAAGTTGTGCAAACCAGAAAACACCGACCGCTTGAGTATTAGGCTTTATTTCACCAAAAACTTAGCCTTGGAATTCACATGCCGGGTGCGCCAATTTAGCTTACCTTCTGAACAAACGATGTTAGCTTATACAGCGTACCGTGTTATTCTTCTGCAAACATGTCGTGTAAACAGGATATAGTAAATATAATGAATATAAGTAATAATAAGTAAGTAAGTAATAAGTAATAGTAATATAAATATTTACATATATGTATGCATTCAGTTATTTTCAGAAACAGAGCGTTGTTTTATCTTTATAAGAGAAGCATCAAACGTTGTGCTCCCCAATTTGTTCAATTTTATGAGGCTGGATTTTTTTCAAATAATCCTCGAATTTTGTTGCAAACCAGAGGCATCGTCATCAGCAGCATGAAATTAGTGTTTAACGCTTATGCTATGTTTCCGTGAAACGATGATTTATTTGAAAGCCGCTTTGTGCAGATAAAGATAAATGCGGACATGAAAGGGACATATTATTAGCTTGCTACAATATTCCGCGGTTCCAAAGAGTTATTCGGGAAAGCTGAATAGAAATTGACAACAAGATATCCGCTGACATTGCAGCCATATATTGCAACATCTGCAGCCAGGTGCAGTGACGATCACGGTCCCCGTCCTGGAAGGCGAGTAGCACTTACAGTACTCAAACGTTTCGTGATCACTTTCATATCACTCTACCGGGTCAAGTGTTGGCCACCTCGCTGCTTCCACTACTCCGAATTAGGCGGGGAAAAACGCACTGTCTTTTGAAAACGATGGCATATGCAACACACGTCCCAATCAACACAGCTCTTGGTGCTGGACACATTCTTCAGTGGAAGTACCCGGCTACGGATATGCCGACACAACCAACACGAGCTATGGTTCTGGGGCACAGATTGTCGAACACTTAAGACGTCGCAGTTCCGCACCCCGAACAGGTTAAGTCTCACATCCATAAAACATGCCAGCCGTCACCGTAGCTTGAGGAACACTTTTCCTGAGATTCATGGATACACAAAATGACACCATGGGTGTCTCAAATTAGCGAACGCCACTCGAGCCTCGCAGATTCATGCACTGACATCTTCTGTCACACTACAGTCAGAACTAATACAACTTCCAAGATACGTAAAACGCTACACAACTTCCAGTGTCCCTGAATTCTAAGTGGCGTGTTCAGTCACTGCATGTCCAGGAGCACGACCTTACAATTTGTGGCTGCAAAGTGTACACAAAAGGACTGGATGACCTTGGTGAGTTCATCCAAAAACACCTGCGCCTTCTCGTCCTCTTCAAAGATGAAAAAAATGTCGTCTGCATATTCCAGATCGACAAGGTTTTCGTCACAGTATATTTGAACAACGGGATTTTGGATACCTCTCAGCGTTCGTTTCATGATTTCGCCGATCATAAAGTTAAACATGAATGGAAAGAGCGGTCATCCCTGACGGACACTGCTTTGTGTACGGAAGCTTTTGCGGGGTTCGCCGTTCTCTCTCACACGTCTAGAAGTCTGAGAATACAACGAACTTATTATGTTCACAAACCTCTCGGACGCTCCTTGGTAGACAACTGTGTCAAGGAGAACAGACCGGTCAAATGCGCCTTGGAAACTCAGGAACACTAGAATCATGGGTTGCATGCACGTTGTTTTTCTAGCACCTGACGAAGTAAGAAGATTTGGTGAACACAACTCCTACCGGATCGGAAGCTCAATTACTGCATTCAAGTCAGTGTTCGACTAGCGTTCATAGGGCGACGAAGCAATAGTGATGTCAGTGGTCTCGTTACACCCGTGGTCAAGCTTATACCCCTATGGTTGCCAAACTCACAACCAGCCTATTCTTTGAAAATGAGTACTTTCACCGACTCTCCCCAGTTGTCTGGGATGGGCCCCTTTTCCCAAATGCAAACAAACACATCAGACAAGCGCTGCCTGGAGGCTTAAGCCCCGTCCCTGAACTATTCAGGCGATAGGTCATCCGGATCAGAGGCTCGGTGGGGCTTGGGAGAACATGTACAATCATAAACCTACGAGGCCGTAGGCGGCTCCACGTTCATCGTCCAGGGTTCCACGTCACCTAAGGACTGCAGAAATGACGTCATGACCATTGTTGTTCAAAGTGTTTGGACAACTGTTCGAGGCAAACATTCGCGTGGTCGTAATCCACAAATATATTATAAAAAGGACCGCATTCCGTTATTCCTCCGGACCGTCGGTAGCTGATGAGTTAATTAGTAATGCGTAGGTTGTGATGCATATAAGTAGCGGGGGGTCGGCACACAGCTGAAGCAATCCCTCCCCATTTTCCATACGTGGCGAGTCAAATCCACGTTGACCTACTAATTGAGTCTCAGATACTCCAAACTTTTCTACATGTGCATTCAAACCTCCGGAAACAACAACGACGTCTGAGCTTTTAGACCGTGGCAGCAGGGCGTTTATTGCGTCCTAAAATCTCTCCTTGTAAGAAAATTTGCTTACACATCACAGTCAATAAACATATCCATATATTTGACACGTGTTGCTTTCGTTTGTCAAATTAACTGAAACCAGGTTTGAAGTCAGCATTTCGCGTCTTTTTAGGCATGGGCACTTGTTAGGGCACCCGAAAACCCAAGAATGATTGTTTTTTTACGTTTTCATATCGAATTTGGTTACCTCAATACTCACGTGTCTGCGCACGAAATGTTAGGCGTCGAGATTGTTAGTCGGTGGGACGCCGTTACGGGACTCCCCTAAGCAGCATCCTATTTTTCGTGACGCAATTTTTATTCCTGTCACTGTGTAATGCGACTATCCGCTTACTAATGCTGATATGTAATTACTGGCAACTGCGCAAAGCGAAATATTGAATGCTAATTACATTTATATGCAGGGCGCGGGGTTACCTAGGTAATACTTGCGTTCTACGCTAGCTGCAACCCGAAGGCTACATTTACGTAGGAGCTTCTTACAGCCTAATTTGAACGGAGAGCAATTAGATAGTGATTCCTCAAGGCCGACGGGAACATGTTTCGAGAAATTACTCGGGTCAGGATCGTTAATCGCCCAAGCGTAACAGTGTGCAAAGCGGACAAAAATAGCTATAGGCTCACACATTCCGAGGCAGACAAAAATAAGCGGTTCACTATTGAAAGCCGATAATGAAAAGTACTTGCAAGACACAACAATCACAGAATATTTCAGATTTGAGGAGTTACCTTTCTTTAGCAACACAAAATTTACTTCGGCTCGTTTGCCTGCGCAGGAGAAATGCGTTATTATACTACACATTGATCGATGTGAGACAAAAGGTTTGTATTGTTTAGCCAACGATAAACATCGAACAAATAATTATATTTTTTTGCTAATGAGATAACCGTTTTTTTAGAGGCAATATTTTCAGTGTATCCTCATAATGTCAGGACAAATAATCTGTTTTCTAGTATCTTTACTGCAAACTCTAGAAAAATATCGAATAAAAATCGAGCTTGAGCAGATCGTTATACTTGTAAACCTATGGTTTAATCGGTAACAAGGACCGGATGTGATATTTTCTAAGCAAAGCATCGTGGTTATGCACACTCGTCAACATGTCCATTTCGGGTACAATATCGATCAACAAACTGTTTGATAACCCCAAAAAATTGTCTTACGCGCACGAAATTTTGTTCAGATTCGTAGATATCACACCCCAGAAAACAACTCTGCTACTGTTCAAACAGGATGCCTGGTCACCTGATAAGGAAAGAATTGTGATTACGCCTACACGGAGCGACATGCCTAAGGTGGTTGTATTTCTCATTTGCGTGTGAAACATTCAAGCACATGATACCACATGGGTCGTTAAGAAAAGCAAATATAAACTCAAGTGATCTCGCAATTGGTGTTACCTTATTACATCATTATTTAATCAGTATTCAATACAAATGATATTACAAATTACACCAACTTTGTGGCTCGTCTGTTACATCATATTAGAAGGTGAGAATTAACTATGTTCTTAAAGCCTCAGCCAAGGGTCTCCGATGTTTCCGATGTATTGATTGTCCAGAAAAAATTCACCAGGGTGCAGACGGTGTTATTACTGAGGAATGTGACAAACAATGTATGGTAAGTTTGACGTATGGTGAGTTTTGTTCAATGTGGCTGGTCTGAGATCAATAATTATGTCTGTGTCAAAAATAATTAGCGGAAATGTCTACGGAATAACCTAATCAGTTATTCGGCGAGATCCTTGATTATGCCCTACCTTGTTTATATTACTAATCCCGGTTACCCTATAACGTAAGTGCCGTTTAGGAGGCTTTAATCGGACAAGTGTGAAGTGCGCAATTGGATGTGAACCTTTTTTGGAAACGTTATTTGACAAATTTGTGTTCGTTTCTCATGCAATGACACGCTGCGTTTACTTGAAGACGAAACAAATGGTAAATTGCACTTGGTAACAAAAGGCTAATAAGAATATCAATCTGGGAATGTGTGCTTTGAAGTCTCCAATCTCGAAGTCAAATTGGAAACGGGGAATCGTAAATTGGTCAGCACCGAAAGTATAGCCTATCCTTAACACAAAAAATGAATACTTTGTGCTCATTCTGCTGTCTTCAATCTTTTCCTTCACACACAACCAAGCGAGTGCAATATGACGCCGTGTGTAAAACATCAGCTGAAGTATTTTAAAGCCTTATTTTAAGCCCTTCACCTTGTTTAAATTTCCTTCTAATCTAGCTTTCTCTACTTTAACTCCCGTAAAAGATGATTGTTTACTACACCAGCAATGGCACTACAGCACTAACCAGCCGATTATGCGCAATATGTCCAGAAAACGCAGAGAATAAAGGCGAAAGTTTGACGTCTATAACAACGTGTTGTTCTACGGATCTCTGTCCAGAAGGTGAAACTGGCACAAGTGACCAGCCTACTTCCCAGAGGCATTCTCCATCTGTGACGCGTTCAAGTGATCAATCTACTCTAAGGATACGTTCACCAGAAGGTTCAACTCGTACAAGTGGTCAGGCTACTTTAGAGACACATGCTCCGGAGACTTCAGCAACTTCAACGGAAACGAAAATGGTTCAAGTAACATCGGAAGGGGCAGCGGTGCAGACTTCAGGGTTGCCGACTGGAACAGCAGAATGTGTAAGCGAACATAATGCGGCTGCCGCTGCGCTATTCGTGCATATGTTCACCACATGGTTTGCTCTGTGGTAAAACATTCACGTGTGATGATATTTTTGATAACTTACCTTTGTACGTCCGACGGCTAATCTGCAGGCCTTGGAGATAAATTTAGCAACGAATGCACATGAGTACACCATGAAATTAATGACACCCCTAAGAGATCACCTTCCCTGATTATGCTTGTATTGACTTTTGGCATTATAAGCCAACCCCCGATGAACAGAATATAAATTATCGAGAAACAGACGAGGATATTTTATATCACTTAACCACACATGGGTGTTATAAGCCATCTAAATAATACCTAAGGGCTCCTGCTGACCACCTAAAAAGTTTTAAAACGCCGTGTAAGTTTATATAGAGCAATTACCAAGCACTCACATTTCAGATAAACTTTATCTGGTTTAATGTTTGCCGCTTCACTATATAACAGCGTAGAATTCTGCCGATTTTGGCGCATAATTTGGATGTCCTGGGGACCTGAACCTAATAAATAGGCAAAGATATACCGTGATCGAGTAAGAATTTGCCACATTACTACCACAGGACAGATTCACCATACGTGTGCTGCAATAAATCCAACCAGGTAATATTATGTGCAGCATTGAAACTTTGTCTGATATAACTCGCATTGTTGCTCCGTAACTGCGCGCAACAATCAATAAGCAGCTTACAGCTGCTCAAACCTAATAAGAAATTTTCATCTAGAGCCATTTAAAAGGGATACGACCCTGTAACCATCCGCTGTGGGTATTTATTTGTCAGTTTTCTTACAGGGCTGTTGGGAATAGTTTTCCATGGTTTTGAACTTAGGTTTGAATGAAATCCGTATTCTCGCTCCATTCTCGTGATGTTTTATGTGACAAATGCTGTTAAATGTGAATGGTATAGGAAACTGGGGATTATTGGTGCGGCCACAGGATCAAGATGTTCATACGTTCCGGTGATCTCACGTCAAGAGCCAAAGCCAACCTTTTTCAATTCGTGCGCCTTAGATTATTGAAAGAATAATGGAACTCAGAGATTACAGAATATGATAATCTGCAAACAATAGCTTTGACACAAGCGTTTGGGGGATACATTGTTCAAGTAATCTGTGGAGATTCGAGCTCCCGAGTTCAATTAATCACTCCATCCTTACTTCTAAAACAAAGATAATCGGCAAAATGAACAAATAACCCGTTCAGCTGGGAGAGTGAAATGCGCAAGCTTTTTGTTAATCGCCAAGTTTTGTTGTGGTAAATATTGTTATATATCAACAGGTGCATTTTTGGAAAATATGATTGAGGTTAAAGTAACTGCCGGTTACATGATAGGTCAAATACATGTATCTGAGCAACCAAGCATTGGAACAAAATTCGAAAATAGATAAACCATTAATGCTGCCGTGTAAATCAGGACGGAAAAAATTGCTATATGCTATCTGAGGAGTTCGTCAGTTGAGTTCCCATGTATTTTTTATTGTGGATCAGAAAACCAACCTCACCGCAATTTTCTTACATGACAAGATAACCGGCATTACAGACTCAGTGGAAAATAAATACTGATAATGTCTTTAACCTTATTTTGATGATAATTTGGTGATTCTTATCAAAAGCGGGATTATAATGAGAAAGAAATACGGTGCTTATGATTTTAGTACGGTTGCCGACAAATATACGTCTCCCTCGATGTGTATTTTGAGATTTGTCAACGTAGACATTCAAATTGATGATTTTCGATAAATAATTATATGTTCGTGATGACATGCAGCAATGGTGGACACCGGCGCCCGAGATGCCGGAAGAACTGCTGGCCGAAAACAGCGCTAGTTTGAGTATCTGAATTCCAGATGATTCGTGAAGGATTTCGATGTTTATTTCGGTGTTCGTGTTTTATTCATTTGGGATGCTTGCTGGTTTAGGACTTCATTACGGTTTAAAACAAGGCATTCTTCGAAGGAACTACACTTCAGCTTTGCATAGTGCAGCAAAGCGAAACCTTTATTTGCAAACAAAGTTGGTTGAACAACCGGCGATATCCGCTGGTCACAGTGTAGTTGTCGTTTGTAGGTGTTTGCTACTAATGAAATTAGGCCAGTATTATCAGTAGCCACATAGATTAATTGACTGTTCTTATCGGAATCCCGGGGTTTTAAGGGGCCTTTCAAAGTGATTTTGGAGTAGAAAAGTAAGCTGATGGAAAAAGCAGTTAGCTTACGGTGCACAGACAATTTTTGCTGACGATTTGCGCCGGTTTTATGGCCTTGTGCAGAGTATCCCCAAAGCTGGGATGTATAGTAGGCATTGGCGATGTCAGAAAAATATCATAAATTTACCTAAAGACAGCTAACTTAACAGTATCTGATAGCTTTTGCACTGAATGATGTAACGCAAGCTTGCTGTGGGTTTTCATGTATCGCGTGGACAATTGAATATAGTGATTAGTATACTTCACGAATGCTTCAATGCGCTGCGTCTGTCAGCATTGTAACACGAGGACTTGCAACTATTCTCCGAGTTAATTTCATTATCACAGTGAACTGACTAGATGCAAAAGCTCCAATGCAAAACACAATAGGTGAAGCGTATTTTGGAGCCGTTTTTAGTTTGTATCTGGTTTCAGCAAAAGGAGAGTTGATCGGTGGGGATTAAACGAAATATAGGCACTTTTAAACAGTGGTCATGCTAGGAAATCGACCAAGCAAATACAACTGTATTACTCGCGTTAGTTGAATTTACTACGTTATATTTCAAGGCAGTTTCTTTTCCCTCTTATAGTTGAAGGTTGGAAATTTGAAAGTGGGTAAGTAGAAGGTAAAGTTTTGTAGGATCATTTGATCGCAAAGCAGAATATTGTGGATGTACAACAACTTATCTGGTCAAAGGACGGAAGTTAATTCATCCAAAATTCTTAACCCTCGGTTTGCTGACCGACCTGTCGGACCTCATCTCTAGTTGGAGCGTTTCTCGGTGTGCAAGTTGTTTGTTCACGTCCTTTTAAAAATGACCTAGACGCGAATTATGGTGCTGCTGGTTAATTACTCAAAACGATTAGAAAAAATGTACTTTGTTATTGCGGAATATTTCGTAATTGACAACCTCGTTCATATACTGGAGTTTTGGGCTTGTTCCAAGAAGTATGGTTTGGATCTGATTATTATATCCCTGCAGATGTGACAAACTTGCGATTGACGAAGTGTGTTTTAACATTTGTACACAAATGCGGGAATTTTGGCTCCAGATTGGCCAGTAGGTAAACCTGTGTTCTTTGTACGTGCACACAATGGTGTGCAAGTGACACGTTAGAAATTGGAGTAAACTTCTGCGAAAATTCTGAACAATTAAAGGCCGTTGCTTTTTGGTGCGAATGTGCGAGTTAATGTAAATACGTGTATGCAGGAATATACAACACTCTTTGGGACAACACGATGTCTGATTTGCGTCCAAGTCTGCCAAATCATCTCGTTGGATGGTCAATTCATTTAAGTTTGGCTGCCATTCGGATACGCGTCTCCACAACCTAAACCGCCTTTAGATTCCAATAATCTCCCGCACTTATAACGTCTGATGAAGCGGGTGCTGCAATTATGGTGATATTAATGAATCAAAGTGCTTACGTCTCACGACATTCGTTCATCAGTCACATGAAGTATTACATACAATCCCCTAATTCGCTTCTTTGGTTTATTTCCTTGTACGTTAGATCTCGGATTACAGGATGTGGATTGACTATCTGGTTTTGTTACTAATGATGGTTTCTCAAGTAATTATGACCAATAATGTCTTACCATGGACTCTGATTTATTAAGTCAATAACCCAAAATCTATATACTTAGCATTTCATGACAGTGCTAAAATCATTGTCTCAGGAGTGCTCGCGTCTTAAGTTGCTGCAGACTCAGAGGTAATTGAGGCGTGTCAATTGTGACGGAGTTTCACAACGAGGTTGTTAAAATGCATTCTGATGCATTTGGGATTGTGATAGTTCTTCACGCAGCGCATTTTGTCATAACCAAAACCCGCTCCCAACATTTCTAACGACGACTTTAATTTGCCCACTCGATTTAGAGTTAACCGACATGTTTGTTTCAACGTCATTCATGTCTAAATGAGCAGAAAATTTTTGGACGCTTACTCACTCTTCCGTTATTGCCGGTTGGCTGCTAGAGGGTTCCGGGCGAAAAACGTGTGTGTCGGTTGAATAATCTGCATTATTACGCCGAAATTTGAAATCACAAATGGGAGATGCCGATATCCAGGATTCAAATAAGAATTCTGATCGTGATTATTTTGCAAAATCATGATCACCCCATAAGGCAGCAAAAACACAGCAAATGAAAATAATTTCCGCGTCAATTCATATTTTGATGAATTGCTTCCATGTTACCATCGTAACAACGAAATTCTGGGTTATCCTGTATAAAAAATAGAAAAGCATTATCGTCGTGATGGACACGTAGTACTAGCTAGGACTTTGCAAGGCGTATTTAATTTATATAAATCCCTGGTTCAATAAAACAAACAACATGTGCCAGAATGTATAATTATAAGTGGGGCAAATGAACTACATATTATTTGCGAAATGCCTAACGAAAAACCACGGTCCAGAGGAACATTTGAAATGTCGTACAAACTCTGCTGTCAAAATGGCCATAAATATATGGGACGTATGACCGGTCTGTGAGTGAAAAGATATCTTGAGCATCCACATAAACTGTGCCTAGGTAACGTCTTCTTCAAGCTGCCACAAGCTGTAAAATTTCATGTTCTCATATTGCGAGTCTGTTAGTGACTGAGGTGTTAGCTGTGTCACTGAGCTCGGGTTGACAATCGGAAGGCGCTATGTTCACAGCGGAATAATGCTTTCATTGCAGTGTTTGTTTCTCACCGGTTGACAAACCAAGCGGGGTCAACACATTTAAAATCTCCATCTATATGTGGAGATTTGTCCTGTGAGTGAAGTCATTCTATGATGAAAAGCCGACAAGTACTGTGTGTATGGAAAATGAGTTACCGAACTTATATAAGACGGGCTAACCATAGGGTAGTTTTCTTTTGGCTATTTAATATACGCAGCTTGAAGTCCGTAGGTGTGACGAAACGTGAGTCTTTGGCTAGTAACACGGTATATTACGTCATAAAACCGTCAATTGATGATCCACCAATCAAAACTTTCAAATGCAACAGGCAGTCAGCGAGTCTGGTTGCTTGCAACAATTCTCGGCCCTGGAAACGCATTTCATTTTTATTGA